TGCAGTGCATGATGATGAGTTAACAATCCGAGTTGGGGAAATCATCAGGAATGTGAAAAAACTGGAAGAAGAAGGATGGTTGGAAGGGGAGTTAAATGGCAGAAGGGGCATGTTCCCTGACAATTTTGTGAAGGTGAGTTTTCTGCATTGGCTTGATTTTACTGTGATGATGTGGCTGGATCATTATTACTGAAATGGTTGGAATACACAGCAGTTGTATTTGTAACGGGATGATTTTTTTTTTAATGGGAAGACTTTCAAGGTGCTGACATTTTTTTAATATGCTTTTGACGATTTTTTTAAATTTAAGTTCTGCTGTCTATTCTTACTTTAGCATTTCTTTTGGTCTGTACCCTTGCATTGTGTGTTCTGTGTCACTCTGACTTCTGCAGTGCACCAAATTGTCTGTAGCCATGGTTACCTGCTTTAGTGGGATGAACTGATTAAAAAAAACAGAATATAAAAAAAACCTCTAAACATATCCCTACAGAAGACATCCAGTCATGAGAGAGTTGGGAAAGTGGGGTCACAGCTCAGTCAGCTCATCTGTAATGAAAAACTGTATCCTCAGGCTGTGCTGCTGTGGGTTCTTCAGCCTGGATCAAGCTGCTTTATTTTAAGGGGCAATTCTACTTCACCCTGGACTCTGCTGCTGGCACTGCTTTTTTTGTGACTCTGCAAACTTGGTGTAACACTTCCATAGAGTTCAAGTGAATGTAGATATTCCTGCCTCTTTTGAAGTGAAATTAATTCTTTGCAAATCAGAACTATCTGGTGTATCTTACTGTGATACTTTCATGTTGTAAAACCTAAGGGGATATTGGTCCAGTGCTTCTTTACATTTGCTTATTTTAAATTTGACAATTTTTTCTGATAAATTGAAAAAGCAAAATTATTATTTTCTGATTTACTGTGGAAGGGTTTAAGATTTTCCTTTTAAAACTGATGGGAAAATCCAGTTGTTCTCAGAGAGGGTCTCCTACCAAGGGAAAGTTTGTACGAGTGCTTTTCACTTGTCTGACATTTTCAAGTTGTTGGTAGTTTAGTTCGAAGTAATTTTTGGGTTTTGAGTGTTGTATAAATAGTAATTTGACCTCAAGTGGTATTTTGATGATTACTGTGCTGATGTTCTTAATTAGCTCTCAAGTGCTATGTAGGAGGAAAGCATCACACTCGGCTCTTTGCTGGTTTGTGTGTCATCAATTTGTCCTGCTGAAGATCAAAGTCAGATGTGACATGTTTCTGTGTTAATTACCATACTTGTTGGGTGTTTTCTTGCCCTTCTGCATCTGTGGCTTTTATAAACTTAGGTTAAAATTATTTCCATCCTGGCATCTCAGCTGCAGGTATTTTTAACTTTCCAGCTGTTCATATGTGCATGGCATGGTCAGATGTCCTGAATTACAGGGGACAGTCAGTTTTCTAGAAGGTGTAGGGGTTTGGAGGAGCAGAAGGGAAGTTGTGTAGAAGAAAATTATCACTTTTGTTTCATGACAACAGGGATAACTTGCCTTCCTGATGCTGGAGCTGAGTGCAGTAATGAGGCTGATCTTGAGAACTTTTCTTCAAGATGGTATGTTTAGGCTGGAATGCTGTTGTGCAGTGGTGCAGAGATCATGGGAAAGCATTAATTGTTAGGGAGGTGAAAGTTGTGTGTTTTCTTCATGGTCAATTTGCTTATAGTTTCTTTGTAAAAGTTAATTTACAGGTAGTCATAGTTTGAGAGGCTATTTCTGGGAAAGCTGTTACAAAAAAGTATTTTGATGGTGGGTGTTGCTGTTAAGGAATTAACCCTTGGAACAGCGGTAATGAAGCACACAGCGACATGGTCAACCTCCAGGATAGGAAGGAGACAATTTATTGTAACACTACACTGCTTAAATACACTCAGGACACTGACTCAAGAACAAAACACAGCCCATTGGTCGGGGCCAACAACACCTCCTGTAAGATGTTCTTACCATAAACAATACAATTTCTCACGGTACACATTGTGTAAATAATAGCAGGTGCATCTTTGTTTGAGATTCTTTCCCTTCTGTTTTCTCCAAGTTCATGAGAAAGTCTGTACTTCTCAGGCAGTCCATGGGAAAGCTCTCCTGTTTTCACACTTTCCCAGGCCATGTATCCACAGGTGGGGTTTGTCCTTTTTTTTTTTTTGTGCCTCCTCTCCTAAACCGTTCTCATTTGCTGCTGTAGTAAGTTGTTGGATCATGCTGCAGGATCTATGGGATGCTACTTTGATCAGACTGCTGCAAGTACCAAGCTTCTACAACTAAACTTAAATGCCCCTTCTTGGCCTGGTGTGCTGTTAGCACCTGCAAGGTGTGGGTGATCTGCTGGAGGAGGGTGGAAATGAGCTCAAGCAGGGCTGGACTTTCCCCTGTGGATGAGGAAAGTCCCTTGAGAAATGGATTTATTTGTTTGCTGCTGACAGCAACCACCAGCACTGGGAGTGGTAAGAACAGTGAGGATGCTGACAAGGGATGAGTATTGCTGACTTCTCATGACCCACATGAGAGGGAAGGAGCACAAAAGTTTGAAAGAGGACAGAAATGTGATCAAAGAGCATAAATTGCTGTGGACAGTACTACTTGGTTGCACCAAGTCTTACATATTTGGTTGCAAAATTCTGGGGCTGTACTTAAATATTTATTACTTCCTGAAAGGATCGTCTTACTCTCCTGTTACGGATATAATTTCATGCGTTAAATGAGGATCTGACCTGAATGCATTATGTGGTTAAATTTGTGGTGGCTTTTTGGTGACATATATATACACACTGATTTGTTAAGAATTGAACTGTGGCCAGGATATTGCCTCTCCATGCAGACTTTGGATTGTAAATTATAATTTGTGCTGATCTGGAAAAGATTAAAATTTGAAGCTGAAAGAGCATGTGTAATCCACTAGATTTGCCTTCATGTATAAAATTTAAAAACATAATAAATATGACAGATTAAATTGGGTGAAGATAAACATGTTTTCTTTTAAATATGTTTAGATGTTATTAAAGAACATAAATTATTTTTTTAGAAATAAATAAAAGCCTTTGATTTTCATCAACCGAAAGAGAATGGGGAGGAAGGTTCTAATTCCAGCTAGTTTGTTTTTGCTAATTTTCTTAGTTTGTCTCTTCATCATCCTGTGTGAGGGCAGGAAAAGAGCTTGTTGCCTTGGTGCTAGCTGCAAACTGTCCTTGGCTGTCAGGCACCACAAGGCTGCTTCTTGCCTGTTTGAAGGACAAGCAAAATGTGGACAGGAGGATTATTGATGCCTGCTGCCTGAATATGTTGGATGCCCCAGATTCAGACTGTATCCTCACTGCTAAAGCAGCTCAGTCCCCTTCTGTTCCCTCCTTCTGGGCTCTGCCCATGCATATTGGGTTTACTGGCATTTTATGCCACTTCTCATGCTTTGACAAATGCATCTTTTCTGTTTGAAGTATGACTAAGTGCTGTCAGCTTCATTTTGGGCTGTTAAAGCATGAAATAGCTTTTTGATTATGTCTTCCTTTTATTTGTCAAGTCTTCTAAATATTGCAAAATCATTTTAAATTGTGATGGTAGGCTTGTTTCATGTAGTGGTAGCAGTTGGGTCTTTGCTGTCAGAAGTGCAGTGGAGAAAGCCGACTGTATTTTTAATTGGGTTAATTTTTTGTACAGTGTGGGTGAGCTAAGCACTATGTGACTTTGAAACACTCTTCTAGAGAAGGAAATTTATGGAAGCTTCCTGTGGATACTGATGTAATGCTGATGCTTGGTATCTTATCATTTGGTAACTTTTTGGTTGGGTTTTATTGGCTTCTACCCAAGCCTTTTGCATATTGATAGGGAGATCCTGTAGAATAATCAGAGCTTGGTGATGTCTGGTTCCTGCCAGCTGGGACCAGGATGTTTTTTGTGAGCCAATCATTTAATGGGTTAGTGAGCAGTCTGAGATGGTCTGTGCCAAAAAGGTGCAGTTCTTGGTGCTCACTTCTACTTGCATTATTCTGCTTTGGAAGAAAGAGAACAGGTAGACCCAGCTAAAGGGAGCCCCATAAAGCCCCTGAAACATCCTCAGATCCTACTGTGCAGTGTCACTGTATGGAGTGGGAGGTGTTGTAAAGGTTGGGTGTGTGGGATGTCCAAAGCAGTCCTAAAGCCAGAAGAGGATGGGTGATAAATGTACAATTGAATACAAGTAGTTTTAAAATAAAAAAGTGCAAGCAATCATCCTACTTGTGAAGCTCATTTCCTTGAATTCACTTTTCAGTGCTGCAGCTTCTTAAAGATGTTCTGCTTGTATTGCAGAGCTGGATTTTGGAATGCACACGTTTCCAGTGTTATTAACAAAACCTGATGTGCAATTCCTGTTTGAACTCTGTGCATATCCTCTTTGAGTGGGGTTGAATTAGGGTTCTTGTTTCTGACGTTGTTATTGCCATTTTTCTGCTTCTTCCTGTATGGGTAATATAAAATAAACATCTTTCTGAATTCCTGAAAGGAATTAGCAATGGAACCTAGCAGACTTTTATTGTTTTCTTTAAGAGCAGCCTTTCCTTTCTAAAATCCATCACAGTGAAAAATGTGCACACATTTTTTTTTTTCCAGTGAGATTTAGAGAGGTGTAGTAATGCTGTTAGGTGGAATGTGTGAGGTTTTTGGAGATATTAAGATGTGTGGAATGTGGAGGACTTTTTGGTTTTGGTTTTATTTCTCCTTGCTTCTAGACTTTATATAATATACAGGAACAATTTTCTGAAAGTAAAGATTAAGAGTCCAGACCTCCTTCAGGAAGTCCCCTAGATCTTCCTCTTTCTCTGCCCCAGTGAATCCTAACTCCCTTTTTTTGCATTTACTTTGACAAGATGGATTAAGATTCATTTCTGTTGATTTATTTGTTTAGAGTAGTTCTATTCTATTGTGTTGATAACTGAAAGCGATGATTTGGTGTTCATCCTTCTGCTTATTTTCTTAACGCTTTTGTCCCTACATAGGTGAGAAGTTTTTTTAAGAACCGAAGTTCCTTGTTTTATTTCATTTATTGCTATCTTACATTTTTAAATAGCTGTATTGTGAGTAATAGGGTTTACATGGTAGTAAAACCAGTTTGATCATAAGCTCAAGGCAGTAACTCGGATGAGGGAGGAGCAGTGGATAGATTAATCAGTAGCTTTCATCAGTTAAGGCAGAGAAGTTTGCCAGCAGGCTCTGAGGACATTGTGGTGAGTGAGCTGGACACTTCTCTGAGCGAGTTTGGGACATGCAGCCCCTCAGCCTTGGAGCTGGTGCGGGAGCAGCTTCCTGCCTGCACAGGTGTGAGCAGCTGCTGCTGCCCTAGTGCCGAGCCTGGATCCTCTCCAGGTTAGCACGTGAACTTTGCTCACTGGGACATTTTTCTTCCTCCCCCTAAATAAAAAAAAAAAATCCTGCAACACTGGGCGTGTTCGAGCAAATATGTCCTTGGAAGTGGTAAGTTTGTTTTATTTTCCGTATGTTCTTAATATCAGATGTTGTAAACAGACTTTGTATTTCCGAGTAGTGGATGGAAACAGCATAAGTTTAAAAGTTGTGCTTGCAATGTGATTTTGAGAGTTTACTTAGTATATGGTGTGAATTCTTGATCTGAGAATTATTTGTGTAATAAAATTACTTGGGGCTGGTTTAGCTCCTGTCCTCTTCTGTAGTATAGGGAGACACTTAGAGATTGCAGACGGTGCTTGTGGAAAGAGTTCATTAAAAAAAAAAAAGATTTGTTTTTAGGGGATTCTTTCTGTTCAGCTTCCTGGTCTGTGTGTTTGTGTAAACAAAACATAGCCCAAGCCTCTTCTCTTTTCATCACCCCTAGACAAGCACTTTAGAGTATTAGCACAACTGACCTACCTTCTTAAGCCTGTCTTTGCTGCCTCTGCCTTGTGTTCTCACTGGAGGGATGCTGTTAAACACAGCTGTGCTGTGAGCCAGTGAGAGAAGTTTTGGCTGAAAGCTCCTTCAAGCTTAACGTCTTCCCTAAGTCCTTCTCAAAAATAGTAAATTGACCCCATCCAGAACTTAAAACAGGAATCATGGATCTGGGAGAGATTGCAGACAAGATAGACTCTTCTAGGTTAACTCTAACCTGAGCATAATTAAAAAGTGTAGTAACATTAGTTAAAAACTAATCAATAAATAAAATTTTAAGCAATGTCTAAGCCATACGCATTTAGTTTGAAATAAGTAGGATGTCTTTAAGAAATAGAATAAAATACCTATTTCCAAAATGTTGGTGCCTGTTCCCTTTAAGTATTCTGTCCAAAATCTTTGCATCCACGTAAGACTTGGAGAAAACAAGATACACAGCAATTTATCAGTCCTGTTGGTCAAATTACATTTCAGTTTATAGAGCCTTTTCCTTTGCTTTATTAGTGTTTTGAAGGAGCTGTCACCACTAGCAGTGGGTTGTGCAGGGAGGTGGCACTGAGTGCTTGGAGCAGCATTGCTTCCCAGGCAGAGTAGGCAGCCCTGCTGGTAAGAAGGTGATGTTTGCTTCAAAGCTGGCAGTTCTCGTTTCTCAGAAACAAAGATTACATGCAAGATTGAAAGCCATATTAAGTAATTTCAGTTTCAGTGCTGAGTGTGTGAGAGAAATGCTGGGCTCTTTATCTTCAGGCAAGGAGTGAAGCTGAGCATTCAGGCTGGTGCTTTAACACCTGTTACCAATACTATGGTGCCACCCATTGTTCCTGCCGATTTTTCTTCAGGCTTTTGGAGGAAATGGGACCACTGGAGGAGAGTGTCATTTCAGGGAATACCTTATGGGTTTGCCTGAACTGCACCTGCTAATCCCATCCACTGGCACATGTCTGAGATTTGTGAGAATGGTGATAGTGATTCCTTTGCTTGGGGGGATGAGAGTCTATGCTATCCAGCTGTTTTGGCCGGAATAAACAAGGAAGCAGGTTTTTTTCCAACTGAGATGTTGGTTACTGGCTTCAGTGAGCCTTGCTTATGATGGGGAAACTATTGTTTCTAAAAACAATAGTAGAGAAAATGAAATCAGCTGAAGACATTGACAGATATAACTAATAGCACTGGTATGTAAGCATTTTCACTGTCTTTCAGAGCTCACCGTGATTTATTCTTATTCCTGTGACTTCTGCATTTGAGTCACTAGATTGACTGCTTTGGTTCAGACCAGTTGGGTCCTGACCCTGTGAAGTCCCTCTGTAATGTGACTGTACCTGGCATGAGCAGGGGAAGTCTGGAGGTGTATTTGGTTTAGCACTGTAGAGCTGCTGTTGCTGACACAGCTGTGCCCACACAGCCGTTTGTGTGTCAGGTTGTCTTTTCAGCTGTCACCACCTCCACACAGGAATTTCCTTTGTTGGTGTTGGTTGTGCATGTGTGAATTATTTCATATTCTGGGGCAGTATAGGCTTCTTGTTTGGAAAGAAAGACCAGGCAAGTGAGTTGACTGTTTGAAATATTTATCTTGATGGACAGTTAGATCTGAAATGTCACAGATGCTTTCCTAAAAGTCAACTATTTAACTGCAAAAAATTTGTTGGAATAATGTGGCCCTTTCCCTGTTCAAGGTGAACACCTGTGCTTTAAGATGTTGAAAAAAATCCTGAGAAGATTTCACTTTGCATTCGCAAACTATTGTTTCACTGTAAGAGTAAAAATCTGTGGTGTTGTGAAGTTTTCAGTGGCTGAATGTGAACACAGAGTGGGGAAAACACTGGTGGCTCTTGTAATATTTAGTATCTTTTCAAATATGGGATATATATATGTTGATATTGTGTTGTCAAGAGCATGAGAGAAATGGAAATTGCTTCTCAGTTTTGCCTCGGTGGCAACAATGGTATGGAACTTGAAGGAATTTAAGATGCTGTTCACAAATTAATGATCTGTGTGAATATTGCTTAATATGCTAATTATTCCCTCTGATTTGAGTTATCCAAGTTTGTTGATTGTACTTGTGCCTCTTGCTTTTCTAAATGCCTTATCAGCTTGTGATGTTGCTCTGTGCTAACTGCACACCCCTGGCTACTCCCAGAGCTGCTCTGATTGAGTGTAATGGTTTGTGTGGAAGAAGCAGCAGGTCTATACATGTCCTTATTCCTGTAATCACATGAAGCAGTTTGCTCCTTTGTCCATCCCTATTTAGTTGTTACACTTGATTTGTGTATAATTTTATAGCTTTCTCTCCAAGCACCAGGAGCAAGGCAATCATTCCCTGCCTGGAGGCTTCAAACAGGGTGTGCTCTATCAGAAGGTGTTTGGAACCATCACTGAGTAAACTGCACAAAGCATTGCTGGCGTCTCAGGCAGCAGGGACTGACTGGGCTTGTGCAGGGACCTGACTTTTTAAAGTTTAGATCTTCCCCGTGTGCAGAAGTCTAAAATACAGCTATAAATATGCACTCTGGAATTAGCATATGTAGTAAGACCAGAGGTCAGTTATCGAGGTGCTGTTTGCTGTAATGTTTGTTACATCCCGGGAGGCTCTGGCTGCACATTCCAGCCATGTAATTGTAATCCTTTGCCATATGTCTCATAAATCAGTGTGTCTGTACACCCAATACAGTTAATATTGTATCTGTTCTTTTGCTTTTTTTATGAGTTGGAATGAAGTAATCTAAATGTCAGCTTGAAGCTTAAAACCTGCACAAGAGTAGCTCCTCTCTGTCCTTTCATCTCTTAATACTTGAACCAATTCTGAACTTTTTGTTTGGTGGCTCATCATTTTGGAGGGGGCAGTTAGCTCTTTTCAGCTGTAGCACTTTCAGTATTAAATTGACTTTCAGATGTATGTGTTCCTTGAACACTGGCTTCATTCAATATTGTGAGCTGATCTGAAAGTTTAGTGTGGTAAATATTTTGTAGGTTTAGCAAGCTTTTTCGATGCTCTTCACTTTGTAAAAATATATTGTAAAAATATATTATGGTATATGTATGGAATTCATTAGCTTTGGACTTAGTGTAATAAACTTTTGAATTCTTAGAAACTAATGGTGATAAGCATGTTACATAGATGCTTTTAAAACAGGAGCAGAAAGCAAGATGCATTTTCAGTTAAAAATGTTATTTAATGTATGAATCTCTGGCAACGCTTAATATTTAAACATTTTCTAATCTCCATGGAGACTCCAGATTTATATTTTTAGCCCTTATTTGACAATCTCTTAAGGATTTAATTTTATCTCCTAGGCAAGACTTGTGAAGGGATGTGGATGTATCAGTGTTTTATCTTGTGGCCACTAGTGAAATGCTGAAGGTTTTACAGGAAATGCAAAGAGACGGTACCTTGGAAAAAGGATGCAGGGAAGAAGAAAGCTGAATGCCACAGAGTGGATGCAGAAAGACAGGATGATGGTGAGAAGGAACAAGGGACCTTCTGAGTTAAACATCAAAGCGAACCTGTAGTGTTACTGGATCCTACATTTTTCTGGACCAGCAGTAGAGGCAATTAACTGGGAGAAGGGATAGAAATGTCTTCCTGCCTTCCCATGTGGGGGAAGCTGATAAAACACATGTGCTGTGGGAGCTGGAGCTCTGTCTTGCCCTCTGCCACGTGTGATTGCTGCTTTCATTGATCTGAAGCACTATTTTGTGGCTGATGGTTGACAGGACATTAACTGTTTTTCTATAAAACAATTACAAGAAATAGAATTAAATTTTCATATGTATGTATTAGCAAATACAATAGAGAAGAAATGCAATCAGCATTTTAAAATGGTTTTACCTGGCTATGAACATGGCAACATCATACAATATTCTCAAGGTATTATTTTCATAAGTATTTTTAAATGAACTTTTTTCTTAATTAAATGGTTGGGAAAAATTAATGTAAAGATCTGTACTTCCTCTAGTTATTCCTGTTAATTTAGAATTCCTTGCTGTGCTGTTGGTGGACCTGGTGAGCTGACTGCTGAGATTTCCTGTGTCTGGGCTTTCATCTTTTGTTTGAGGTCTCTTGTATTTTGCCAATATTTACAAGACTTCATGTCAGATTCTGTTTTGACACTTGCTTGACACAAAGTTTATACATGTCCAATTCTCCATTACAAAATTGAATTATTTGTATACACAAAAACTATATGGATGCATTTTTATAATCTGTATCAAAATCTGAAACTTCAAGCCTGCTTCTACATTACCTCTGTAGAGTGTTTCTTATATAGGAAAGTTCGACTCCTTGTCTGTTCTTGACCTTCAAGTATCACAATTATTCAATGTCTCAGGTTTTAGTCTGTGAATCTGCAGCAATTCAGTTAATTTTTAAGCTTCCTGGAGATCCCACTTACTCCACGTGTTGCATATTGTGAGAAAGAAGTGATACCTTGCCTGATTGATGATTGTCTTCCTCCCACACAAGGAGACAGTATGATTAAAAGATGTATATTTAGTATAGATTATAACACATGTAAAAATATTGGTAACTTGTTAAACTATGTTATGTGATGTGGGTGTGGTTTAATAGAAAGCTA